TCGACTAAACACCTTTCTTAATGCTTGAATTGTGAAGTCAGAATTTGGTGAAGTTGTGAAGAAAACTTCAGGCCACTTTGAAAAAGAATCAGTAACTACAAGCGCATAGTATTTGCCAAGAAACGGACCACAATAGTCTGCATGAATTCTCTGCCAGGCCTCAGACGATACTGGCCATGGAGTCCACTTCGAATGCTGATTTTTCAGCTTATGACACTTTTCACAATTGTTTGCTGTACGACAAATATCTGCATTTATCTCTGGCCACCAACATGTGAGCCTCGCCAATGACTTCATTTTTTCAACACCTAAATGTCCACTATGAAGATCTTCTAGGACAGATTTACGCAATGAAGGAGGAATAACAACACGATCATTTAAACACAAAATACCATCAGGAGTAGTAGATAGCTCATCCCGCTTTGAAAAATAGATAGGAAATCTACGTTTCAAATTAGCATTCCAACCTTTCCGTATAGCATTAATTATACATCCAAAGTATTTACGAGTTTCTCTAATGAGATCTGGACGTTTCACTGGTAAAGGTTGCACTAACAAACAGTCTGAAGTATTTACAGGTTTATCTTTTAATGACTGTCGAGAAATGTAGTCAACATGTTGAATTTGTTTGGCACTCCTATGCTGAACCGTATAGTCATAGGCACTCAAAGCAATACTCCATCGTTGAACCATAGCAGCTGAGGAACGTGCTAAGGATTTTTCAGGATGATAAATAAACTTTAAAGCCTCATGATCAGTAACAATAGTGAATTTCTTTCCGAATAAATATTTATGGAGTCTTTTAACAGCCCAATACACAGCTAATGCTTCTCGCTGAGTCTGTGAATAACCTTGTTCAGTAACAGTAAGTTTGCGTGAAACACAAATAACTGGTCTACCCTCCTGTTCCAAAACTGCGCCAATACCCACAGGTGATGCATCAGTGATAAGTACAGACTGTACACTAGGGGAGTAAGTTCGAAGAACAGCATCACTTTGAAGAAACTTTAGTAGACTACGTAAGCATGACTCTTGTTCCTCACCCCATTTAAATGTATTGGATGTCAAAATATTAAATAAACAATTTGCACGACAAGAAAAATTAGGAATAAAACGGGAATAGTATTGAAGAGCACCCACTAGTGAACGTAGTTCCGTAAGGTTTTTTGGAGACGGTGCATTTGTCAGTGGAGCTAGTCGTTTCATATCTGGTCTAAAACCATTACCATCAACTAGGTATCCAAAACATTCGAAATTAGATACACAAAATGAACACTTATTTGGATTCACTGTAATATTCTTCTCAATTAAACGACGCAATAAAGCAATAAGTCTCTGGTTATGAACTACCTTATCAGAACCATGGACAATGAGATCATCTTGATAAACTTCAACGCCCTCAAGATCACTAACTACATTATTCATGACTTCCTGAAATATAGCTGGAGAACAACTTAGACCAAATGGAAGGAAATTGTATTTGAACAGACCAAAAGGAGTATTAATTGTCGTCAAAAGAGATGAAGATTGATCTAAAGGGATTTGGAGATAAGCATCTTTTAGGTCAACTTTCGAGAACACTTTAGAACCATGAAGTCGATTTAGAATATCTTCAGCCTCGACCGTCGTGCACGTTTGCTTCAACAAACGGGAATTCAGTGTTAATCTATAATCACCACATATTCTAGGGGTTTTGCCATCCGACTTCAGTGGCGTAACAATAGGAGTACCCCATGCTGAGGACTGGATCGGTTCAATTATGCCTTTCGCACACAAATCGTTTAATGTTTTATGTACTGCCTCTCGAAGACCATAAGGAATTATTCGTCTTTTAAGAAATACTGGTTCACCCTGTACTTGAAGTTTTATAGGCTGAATCTTCATACCTCCACTGCACTTAGCACACGTGGCTATCAAATTTTTAAGTAAAGCATCATTGTTTTCTTTAGAAACTAGGAAAGACAGCTCCACTTTAAGCCTTTTCAAATTCCTTAAGCCCAATATTGACAGTCCTGTTTCGCTAACTAAAAATTCACAAGGTATGTACGAAGAATTATCATCTCTTATTAGCAACTCACAACATCCTCGTATAGGCAGCCTGTGTCCAGTAATCCCCAATATTGATACTTCAGTGGGTCGTACCACAACATTAGGATCTAAAGATTTCAAGTTCTTGAATGAAATAATGGACTCTATACTGCCTGTGTCAACAATAAAGTCATGACATGAACCAAGCGATGTATATAATCGCTTTTGAATATGAGCATTACCTTTCGAAACAGTAGACAAAGATAAGTGATCATTAGGAACAGCTGAATCACCGGTTTCTAAATTACAAGATTTAGTACTACTTGAGGCAAAATGAATAGTAGCTTTGCATACTGATTGAATGTGTCCTATCTTACCACATCTAAAACATTTAGCATTACGAAATGCACATGAATTACGAGAATGAATTTTTCCACATGATAAACATTTGCCAAACTTGGTCTCACCTTTGTGATTTCTTTTGTAATTCCTTGTTGAGATATCTTTCATATTTACACGAGAATAGGAACCACTGTTAAACGAACGCAATTTTGATTGACCCTGAGATTGTATTTCATCATGACGACTAAGCAAAGTATTAGAAATATTCATCGACTGGATATCAAGTTCATTCACTGCCTCGTAGTTAATACACGCAGTTCTAGCATCTTGAAAGGAACAGTTCTGCATTCTTAACAGCTCTCTTTCCAAACCCGGCAAGTTAATTCCTGCAATTAATCGATCTCTCAGTTGCACATGAAGTTGATCACCAAAATTACATTTGGCAGCTTGTTTCTGCAATTCAAGAATGAATTCTTTAACCTTTTGGTCATTTCGACGAGTCATCTTATGAAATTTTGCCCTTTCACGGCATTCAAAACTAGTGCACTTTACATGATTTAATAATAACTCCTTAATAGTTGCATAAGGAAGTGAGATAGGTTTTTCTGGATATGCCAAGGTTTTCAATAAGCTGTATGCTTCTTTTCCGATGAATGTCAGGAAATAAGCCACAATTTTATCACCTTTAACATCCTTCTTGGTCATGCTCCAAATTTCAAACCTTTCCAAATAGTCCTCAAAAGCTTCAGAAGTTGAATGAATATCTAACTGTTCCATCGCAGGCTCCATCGCGACGCCAATATGATAATTAGAAGTATTTGAATTATAGTATGAACTAAGAATCACAGGGATAACGCAATTGAATCAAGAAGTACTACACAAGCACCAACGAATGTACTGTATTTAGAATTCGAAATCAAACATTCAACAAGTACAAAGGAATCATTAGTTCATTCAAACACCACACTAGTGTTGTCAAATTCGAATTACCTGTGGCATATTCAATCTTAAGCTGCCTTGTGTTAGACTAAACCAGTTGCTAGCTGAAAACGGCCATTTTGTTGGTGTGTATGTGAATCTTTTATATCAGAAAGACTTGTCAACAATCTATATTTTATCCTAACAACTTCGTGGTACAATAATATATAAAAGATATACCCACCAGTGAGAGCATTAAAAATTCATTTCGCCTCATAATACTGCTTACAGGGTCACTGTTGCGAGAGTTAACTATACAACATTCAAACTATATGCACTCAAACAACGATCACACTCAATTGATAAATCTTCTAAATGAACGCTCAACTTGATTTCCTTGTCGCTTCTAAAAACTCCAGACTGGATTAACACAACTTGAGCACAAAAGCCACGAAGACTGTTTATAAGGATATATTTGACTCTCAAAGTAAGTCAAAGTGATTTGGGAATACATCACAATATATGATTCATTTACAGTTCGAATAAGTCATACTTATATAAATTGAACTGAGTTATACTTAATAATAATTCAGCAGCTTATGATGTGAACACAAATTTACAATATTATGCAAATAAGCATCGATGATGTAAATACATGTCACACACGATTTTAGAAAGATGTTATCCCCATTCCTATTGATTACGCCATTACTTGCCATATCATGGATTGCAGTAATCCCCTATTCATTAATGTTAATCCACACGTATTCTAGTAGCCTTCCAAAGACTGGATACCTCATAAGAGCTGAAGTCTGTTTAATTTCTTTGGATATTGTTCAGGAAATCCTTGAATTCATCACTGATTGTAAATAAAATCAATTTGCAGGTGAGTGAGTAGGAAAAGTGAAACCGTTATATTCCTCACAATCATGAATCTGGATGAATGGCATGGAGTACTAAGCAAGCCCAACATATCTAAAATCTCAACTGTATATGACTACTGCTGAACATACAGTGTTTCGAGAATAGGCTTCATTTGAAAGCCAGTAGTAAAATGATTTGTATTTAGGTAACCCAGTAGGCATTTTTATCTACCTAATATTTCCGCTTTAACAACACATTCCCAGCTTACATTTTCCTATAACGTATTACTGTCCTTATTGAGAGATTTATTTCAATAAGAGAGCATATAAAATGTCCACTATCCCAAAATATTCTTCTGTCCAAGATTAGCAGCCAATTTGACTAATCTGTATTATCTTGTAATAATTGCCTGAGATAAACAGAAATTATTAAAAAATTCTTCCCAACTGAATGTTAGTGAAGCTTCTATTTAGTTTATTTTAGTTGGATATTGTTATCAATAAACGGAAAACGTTTTAATTATGTACTGTTGAGTCCAAAAAATGGGTAAACATTTAGACAAGTCTGTGCACAAAATATATTATGCTTTCAATCTACTCCTGTATTCTCAGTAAAGCCTTACCTGACAGGAAGAAATTAAGTAACCTGACAGACGTTCTCAATGAGTATACATTCTGGTAATTGTTAAGTAACCTCAATGAATATCTCAAATTCAGAAGTCGTTCTCAGAAATCTGAGGCTAGAAGTTCAGCGAAGGTCAGATATGCACGAGATTTCGGATCTTTGATAACTTATGTCTTGAATACGAAATACATTTAAGTCCTATTGTCTGTATAATAAAACACGTATACGTTTGGAGGGTTGTATAAGTGTATTGACTTTATCACAAGGTATGGATACTCAAACAAAAATTTGTAAACAATCCCGAACATAGTTGACAAAAAGAATGTAATATATGAACAAAAATTAACGAGAAGAAAGTTAACTTGTGAACTAAATCGATACACACTGAACATGATTATTAACAAATAAAAGATTAAAGAGTAAAAATTTCTAATAGTTGCTGTGATAGACAGTAGTAGGTGGACAAATGATGCTGTTTTGGAAGTGATAAATAGCTAAAGTTAATGATAATAACGACGAAAAATACAATTATGAGATAGAAAATAGTTTTCCGAGTGTTGAAGAATATTTTTGCATTTTATTGAATAATTGATATAACTAGCTAAAATTAAACCAAAAAATCAGGTACGTTTTTTGATCTATACACACTATAACTTTAAAAATGCAAAATTACTAAAATAAGTCACTCATACGTGCACACATTCTACAACAATCTCAGCTTACCTAGATAAGAGCAATAAAAAGTGAAAAAAAGATAGTCCAACTAGAAATCTGTGATAGTACTAAAGTGGCGATTAACAATAATCATAATGGCACCATTCTTGTAGTCGATTCAACATCTTCAAAAAAGCACAATCGGCAATCACATGTAGACACATAACACTAAGAGTGAACAAAACACAGAGCGAAATAAGTTAACTTTTGAGAAAAAAAAGTAAAGATAAGGGGCACTTATCCTTATTATTGCTATTATCATTGCGAAAGTTTCTAAACAGAATAACAGTTTTCTTTCAAACACCACCACCACTTCTATAAACAGGAATTCGAGTACGACTTAATACTTTCTTTAGAGGTGAGTTGACAACAACGCCAGATTTTATTGCACTCATAAACTAGAAAAGAAGAATGAGCAAAATATTGTTAATAATTTGACATGACATAATTTTAAAGATTATTACTTATATATATGGTAATTAATAATCAAAGTTTATATAATTTATAATGAATGCACATTAAAGCAAGTGTGTAATTAGGCAAATATAATGACGATAATAGGAGAATTAGAAAAAAAAAGAACTCCCATTCAATTTCTTTCTATATTGTTAGTGTGAATACAGGCACTTCATTTCAGTAAGTTATAAAGTTGGTATTTCCAAACTATGATACAATGTACGACTGAGTAGTAAGTTTTGGTTGCTGACAATATATGAGGTATCTTTGTACTTCATACCATTCATTAGACGAAATTATTTAACATGATTCTTCAACAGTATAGCTCTAGATAAGTACTTATCAATTGAAACATTAAAAATGATTACTGTTAGCAACCGTATACAGGGCATCTTGTTCATAGAACGTAATTTAAAAGGAAAGTGAACAAGAGTTATGCAGGAAAAACAGAATTATGATCTTAAATAAATAATCAAAGTGAAATTCTGGAAAAAAACGTGATACAAGCTTAAGAAATATGAGCGAGTATTTTCATGATGGTTCTTGAAAAAACTCTAAGATCTTAACGACGACGATATTAATTCTTTACGTAAGTCAAAAGGGTTTGAATACCATAGGGAGAAAGTGATTTTACTAAAATAATCAATATAGGATATTGGATAAATGCAATGCAATAAAAGATCGAATAACAACCAGCTGATAAATAGAACAGGTAGCACATCAAAAAATTTGATAAAAATTTGTGCACAATGTAAAACTGTTTAATTAAAAAGCTTAGTTGAGATTAAACTAGAGTTAAGTCATATGCTTTTACTCACGTAGTTTTAACGAGATGAACATTTAAAAGTGAGAATTAATTTTGATAATTACTGATCAACGTTTCACCATCAGTTATGTCTCTGATAATGATATTGAAAACATCATCCATTGTCCAAGCAAAGATTTATGTAACCGGCTTAGAGCTACAGTTTATGTGTTAGGGTCACCAGTACTACTTGCATGTTGGAATCGAGATAGGTAGAGTAGGATTAAACTTAAACTCTGATTCGATATGGTTCTCGAAAACTACTGTTTCGATGCTAATAGTTTTAATTATAAAGTATACATACTAGCCTTATGAACAAAAGACTCAAGAAAAACAATCTCATAATCTGACTAGCAAGAACTGAAATCTACAGTGTGTTTGTTGAATATTTGGAAAGTAAATATCACTTATGCTCTTATTTTCATCATTTCAGAATCCATCATATATGCGACTCATAAAGATCAGTCTAACATATACAATAGTATACATTGATAAACATTTGAACTGGCATAATCAAAACAGTCTAGTATCCAATATAAACTTCAAGCTTTGTATATATAAATTTAAAACTTATTGACCTAACGTTACTCAACTTTTCATTACTATCACAACTTTAAATCGGTTAGTCAGAAAACGTGAAAATACAACATCAACTCAGTGATTAACGGCAATCTCACTTTCAGTTATACAACCGGGAGTGAAGTTGACTAATTAAAATGGTGTTCAATTGACAAACGTATATTATGGAAGGTAAAATTAACCTGTAAAGTCAACTACAAACATACACAGACACATATTACGCATAAATAGTAGCAAAATAATGACAAATACACAATGAATGTTCATAAGAAGAGGCAGCAACAATGATAATTCTACAACAACAACAACAACAACAACAACACAAAAGGCAGCTGTAACAGAAGCGAAGTGTTAAGCATTATAATGATTTGTTGTTAATGTAAATCCACGCACAAAAAATACTTTGATCAAAATAGTGGGTTTTCAAAAAAAGTCAAATATTGTAGATCTGCTTTGTAATGTTCTTACGTAGATTATTGTTAAGCTTGTTTATCAAGATTACGTGAGTTCAATTGATGGATGAGTTGACTACGTAGTACCTATGTTGTTTTTATTATACATAAATGATTAATATTGAAATATGAATAAAATGAATAGTTTATAACTAAGATATGTGAACAAAGGAAATTTCTATGCAAAGCTAATTAAATCTAAAAAAGTTGAAGGTTTGTATATAATTCGACCAAAACGAAAATTTTATTAATAACTGAGTACGAATGTAGAAGTGTTTTTCTACATTTCTAGTTTATCATTCTATTTCAATAACGGCAAAGGAGTAAAGATTCATTCACAGTAAGTTGATTAGAGTACATTTTACGCAGCGGAAACTGTATAACTCTAACAATAATGTTTACTTTTGTGATTGTAATCTTTCTTATTGCTCTTAAAGTAGCAAATTGTGAAAAAGTGTATTTCCTGAATAAGTCGAGAAACATAATTTTTATGATATGGACAAATTCGCTAATTACTGGTTTGATTGAAGTCACTAACGTCTAGTCTGTGCTATGGTGGAAGACGCAGACTACTTGGTTAGAGTCTGCGTGGCTATCGTAACCAATGGTTGGGGACTCTGGATGACATGGCTCAGAATCGTTCACAATGGCGTAAATGTATACAATCTCTGTCTTCCATTAAACTAAGAGAATAAAATCGCTTCATATCTTTCTTTCTACGAACCAGTTCTTTGTCCCTGTATTATATCCTTACAGACAATCTTTCTTTTATATATTACAATCATTGAAGTAACTACTTCTACGAATTTGGTATTGATGTTGTTGTACTAATGAGGTATGGCAACTTGAACCGATGTGTCTGGTCCTACGTTGTAGCTGACTGACTGATTGAGACTTATCTAATCAGATTATCGGTTAGATACAAGTGACACAGTCCAAAATTTATTATAGAGGCACAATTTTATTCAGTGTCTATCTTCTTTGAAATCTCCATTCACAGGTTTTCAATTTATTCGATCTCGGTTGTATCTTCATGAACCTAGTCACATTAAGAATTCAAGTGTCGTTATTACTATTTCCTCTACTTCACTTCTCTTGTTTATAACCAGTGAAGTTGTCCTGATGACAACTCAAAAACGAACACACACTTGTGCCAACTCCTATGTTGATGTCAAATTAACAAGATTTACAAACAGATGTCGTTAAGCAAATAGTAAACACTTAAATAAATAGATAATACTTATGTATAAACAGATTTATTGGTCAAACAGAAATAAATTTTAACATCTTTCTTTAGTGTAACCAATAATCCAATTAGTCCAGAATCTAGTCCCTCCTTATGTGACATAAATTGAAACACAGATACTTCTCTTGTTTGTGACGAACCGATGTTTTAATTTTTTTCAATTAAATTATTTAGAGAGGTCTTTAGACTTTTAAAACTATGGAAAAATTTGGTGACCATGAGCGAATAATTTGAGAAGGGTTTTTACTTCGACAACTAGGTTGATCTACATTCTGAAGATTCATTACTAATGAGCTCGAAATCTTAGATAGTCCACAAACATGTAAAATGATAATCTACAAAAGCGAAAGATTATTATTAAGTATCCAGTTAACTGTCTGGAACAGATCTTCAAGTTTTTGATAACTGGGATTGCACATTAAATACATGATGTGTTTAGATTTACAAAAAATTAATCAAAATCAATTTCAAAACCATAAGAATTCGATAAAAAAAGAAACTAACGTTAAGTTCTAATGATAGAAAAAACAAATAAAATATGAATAAATATGTCTGTTTCATTAACACACTACCTTCATAAAAGTAAACGCAAAAACATTTTTAATCAAATTGATTTAGTAGATTATTTAAAGGATCAGTCAACAGATAAAGTATAACTTGGAATTTAAAATATATGAAGTACACTAGGGAATGTAATTCCAAAAGTTTAAAATAGAAGAAATCTTTTAAATAAATGGTTGTAATATAAACGATATTAAATTCTATGTAGATTTAAATCTAGGTAACGTTAGTTCTCTAAGACATGATCCATTGACAATACAACTGAGACAAAACAACATATGCAGGTCATCCCAATACAACTTTTTTTCATATCACGACACCGTGTCATATACTGACCACCTCTCTGATTTTTCCAACAACTCCCAGTGTTTACAAATAATCTACCATGGAAAATTTGTTGGCATGACAGTCGTATTAAATATTTAGGCCAACAAAGACAGCGTTCCAAGATGTTCAAACCAATCGCATTATCCTCACTGTGTCCGAACACACGTTCCAGAACCTCCACATTAATGACATCGTGTTGCCACTGAATGTCACCAATCCTTCCCAGACAAAAACAGAGAGTCACTTAACATCCTCAACTCGGTCAGTCCAGGATTAGAAAGCACACAGCACAACTGCTCTAATTGACGTGTGGTAGATCCAACGTTTTACACCCAGGATAACAACACAAAAGCGCCAAAGATGACACGCGCCGGAATAACACAAACGAACATTCACTATACGTGAATCGGTCTTACTACTCACGCCACCACCAGCATTTACACAGATATACAGACACACCAAATTCTACACTCATTCGATCTGCTCACTAACAACAGTGAGTGAAGGGACAGGCTTCTGCCAGTCTTCTAATAGTACTTTGCACTCCCAAGGTGCAAAACAAATCCCAAATCTACGATACTGACTGCCAACTGATTGAGTACGGATTGCATGGCTTGGGTGTCGTCTCAAAGTACGACAGTATCATCCGTATACCCAAAGCCGAAAAGTTTATTTCCAGGTAAAGATACTCTGGACTTAGAAAGTGTTAAAGACATACAATACCTACGGACAATGACTGATCGTTGGTGAACGTCGTTTATTATAAAATCGTAATTTGGTAGATAAATTTGGTCACTTCATCATAATTATCACTTTCCCTACTCATATAACTGAGCTCACGTTCCTAATTTACGGTTCAGTATTTAGTGAATTGATTGGGTAGACAGAAAATAAATTGTACACCATTGAAAAGAATATTAACAAGTTTAATACAGTGATTCTTATCTTAACTTCAATTCTAAAAAGTCACTT